AAAAAACATAGAACTTGTCCTCCAAACCATCCGAAACTTTTGAAATGACCTAAAGTGTCTTCAGGCCATTTCAGCGGTTTCAAACCACTTCAGAATCTTTCATTCTTAAATTCAGGTGGTTGTTAACCATTAGTGGATGAGGACTACCCGGTCTGTGGGACAGCCCCTGAGACAGTGAAGCACCTGTGGTTCAGATGGCCCCCCCCCATGGCGGTTCTGGGAATGATGGCACTCGGAAATGGGACGAGCTCCGTTGTGCTCCCAGGTGAACTGGATGTACATACTGCAAGTGGGTGCACAACTAGCAGGAGAGGGGGACTGGAAGGGAGAGGCACGCGCAACTAATACACTTAGAGCAGCTTTCCTATGAGCGGTCGGGGCCTTGAGAACACGGGCCATGTTGGAAGATAAGAAGCCGACATTCGACACCCTGCGAGCTGCTGTGATAGCTAACTTCTACACGTCGGTGGCAACTGACGCCAGGCCATGGAGAGGACACCGGTGAATAGGCTTCGTGCAGCGCTGGGCTAGGTGCAGAGATGTCCTGCACATAGGGGGAGAACCTGGTCTGTGGCATCGGCGACTGTCCGCTTTCAAGGACCCGGGAACCTCATCTGGATCAACTGATCAGGAGGGCATTCCTCCCCCACCGAGGGAGGACAGGAGTGATGAAATGGGGGAAGGGAGCAGCGGAACAGAAGGAGAATGGACAGAACAGGACCCCCCCCCCCCTGACGGACAGCGGAGGGATGAGGAAGGCAGATGGGGGGGAAAGTGGGACCGAAAGTGGCAGGGAGGAACAGGCTGGGACAACCTGGGCTATGGGATCGGGGAGGGGGATGTATGCGGGAATAACATGGAAAGTGAGGTAATACCGTAATAGTGGCTGTTTGTCTACTAGATAGGGAGAGGACAAGAGTAGGAGTATAGAGACCCATTACATAGTTTGGTTGCAAGGTAGAGTTCTGCTAAATAACTCTAGGACTAGACGGTCGGGACATACCAGGAGATCTGGGTCTTGGGTAGCCTGTGTGACCTAACATGGACTGATGATAGTAGAATGGGTGGATAAACACGAAGAGGGAAAGACGGGCGGGAGGGAGGTGGG